CATTGGGATAAATTACTTTATAAAACTACCACCAATCATGAATGGTTCCCCATAATAAGGTTTCACAATAGGTTAGGGCTTGAGTTCTATTGTCAAAATTGGTCAAAATAGATTGCCTAACATAATCTTGTTCCCAATTTTCGATTACTTTTGCCTAATCTTGGGGATTGTGCCTTGCTATGTCTAGTATTGTACCTGCTTGTTGCGCTGGTACATTCTCATAATTTCTATGATATTTGTGTCCATGTATACATATCTGGTATATTTCTATTTTCTATATACATTTCACGTGAGGGATTTAATCTTTGCCCAGTAATATAGTCGTCATTTATGGTATTACTACATGAGGCGTTAGTCTTTCGTTGGTCAGTCATTTCTTGGTCAATTGACTGAGATTCTGATCCTTCGAGTGCTTTTCCTTTTCTATGTTCTATTACATTTAACTCTTCTTTTACTGTGTTTAACTCTGATGCTGTATAGAAGCATTCAAATCTTACGCTTAGAATATTTTTCTTAATATCATCATTATTTCCTTGTCCTAAGTAAATACTTTCGATAAGTTTGTATTTAGGTTCTGGATACTTGTCTTGCAACACTTCTAACTCTAAATTATCAAAATCGTACATTATTTTATCTAGAATTTCATCTTCCAATCTATCATAAAGGACATTTATCTATTCGGGATTCTCTATTTCTATCAGTGTAGTTAAAAAATCTTCTTGGGTATCATCTACTAAATTGTCTTGTCTTTTATAATTACTAAATCTTATGCTAACTTCTCCACTATTTGAAACATATATTATATTATTTTCGGGAATCTTTTTAGGTGTAGTAATAAGTTTAGGTAATTTCCATTCTCTTCCTTCATGGGTAATACTACTTATTTTTCTAGCTTGTATCATCTGGACATATTTGCTACTAAAAGGTTTAACTATTTCACTAAATTGGGTTTTAAATTTCAAGTTATACTGATTAACTGCTTTTCCCATAAATAAAGTATTAACTAATAGATTTTCAAATTGTCCTGTCATATTGTATCCTTTTGTAGATATAACTATCTTAATATGTTTACTGAATTCTCTAGCAGTCATCGCGTAATTGGGGATACATCCTACTATTGCTGCATTGTCGGCTAAATCTATTTCGGCGCTGGCTATTTGTGCTTGTTGATGATTATTCCATCGGTCATCATAAATATAAGCAAGTGCTCTAGTTTCTATTTCTGCTCTGTTTAATCCTACTAATCCTATCATTATGACGCCTAAATGCATAAGTTCTAAATTATTATCATTTAATTCTTGACATGTTTCGGGTGTTATAAGGTCTAAAATAACTTGATTGTTAACTTTACTTATTTTTCTTTGGTTAAAATGATTATATATCTTACTCTGGAAGTTTAATAAATTATTAGAATAAAGATTAACTTTATTTTTTACCTTCTTCATTCCTTGTTCTATATATTTTTTAGCATCATGTTCATTATCATATAGATCTTCTACTCTCATTAAATTTACACGCTTGGTTGTTGCAGGGAAGGACTGATTATTGGTCGACAACTTAATTTCTTTTATTTTTTCTGATAATTCGGATAATTTTTTAGAAGATTCTTTAGGAATATTTTCTTGTATCACTTCTAATTTTTCTTCAAGTTTATTAACTTTATCAGATAACTGGAGTAATAACTGCATTAAAAAGTTATTTTGTCTAATATGTATATTGGTTGATTGTACGTCTGTTTTAAAACTTGTAAATCCTATGGGTTCTTTATCAATTTTGTAAAGTTCAGCTAACGCAGTTAAATAATCAGAACTACTAATACTCATAAAACTATTGTAATAATCTTTGGATATCGGTTTTAAGGGATTTTAAATAGTCTATGATTATTTTTTGATTTTCAGCAATATTTTTAATATCACTATTGATATCTTTAATTGCGATTAATATTATCTTGTTATCTAAATTATTTGGACTAGAATTATGTACTACTTGTTTTTTAATATAATCAAGATTTTCTCCGAGTCGTTTTATAGATATATCTAAATTATTAAAGTCGAGTCTATTCTAAATTAAAATCTTTGTCGTCTAGCTTCTAAAATATTCTGTATTCCAATAATTCTTGATCTAATTTTTTCTATTCTTCGTTGTAGACTACGCTTTGTGTTTCCCAATTCTTGGGCGAAGTAACAGCATCTAAGTACTCTTTGACAACATTCTAGAGTTTGTAGAAGTTCTTCTTTAGATATATTGAACATAAAATAAGATTTAGGGGCAAAAATATAATATTACGAAGTGCCTTGACTTTTAATTCATGTTCTCCTAGATATGCAAACTACGTTTATGTAATGATGATATATCTATGCTAATACCACTTATACGTAATTTTCCCTTTATCAAATAAAGTATTCTTCAAGTTGGACCAATTTTGTTCCACGTCCGTGACCTGAAAATACTGCAACATTCAGCTTTCTCGTGCTTTCATGGTAATGAATGGTTATCATCACCGTCCATCATGAACTGCAATCGCATGCAATACATTGTCTCGTACTAGTGATTCAGCCTCATGTGATGCTGTGTGAGTACAGTCTCTGTGAACTTCATTTAAGCATGATTAGTGGCATAAATACAAGGAGTTTAGTGACCTAATATTCATACTAAAAATTCAGTGGTATATAAAAAATTAAAATAAAAAGTTATGTTGCATCCCTGTTTGATCTATTAAATTACAATAATGGAGGATTAATTAACTCTGAAAGGGCAAATTAACATGAGTTATTCCAATTTCTTGGCAAGGGTCATTCATAATAAACCGTTTTCATTATTAGTGTATTTTGTAAAAAAAATAATAATAATAACCAAGTTCATAATATACTGTTCCCATGTATTAAGTATATTATTCAATAAAAATAGGGACGTGAGATTTACACTTTTCTAGGTTTGCACCATAATCTTAAATGAAATAACAATTTTAATTTTAATTTTATAACTAAATTATTATTACTTTTAAATGACAAAACTATTTTTTCAAATTTTCTCTCCTTATTTCTGATCTTTAATATTTTAGGTATCTTTTGACATAAAAATATGATGTGGTTATTTTAAAATTCCCTCAATTTTCCTTTCCTTATCTTTTCAATTTTTTATAGGTGCTGCTACATCTTTCCTCATCTTCTTCTTTGTTTTCATGGTATTGAAATAAAATTATTTTATTTATACAAAATTGCAATTTCAGCTGCCAAAGGCTGCAATGCTTTCTAATTTTTCTTCTTTAAATTCCTCTCATTGTTTTTGTTCATGGGAGTTCGCATAACAATCTTATATATATATATATATATATATATATATATATATATATGATACACAATCTAATTATAAATATTCTAGGGCGTTGATAGGATTTTTACTTTTATTTGTAAAAAATGAAAAAATACTCAACTTTCAAAATAGTTAATTACCTTATGTTTTAAAATAGGTCCCATTATATTTGACACACCATGACTCAAAAAATTATCTTGAATAAATTGTCTCTTTTGAGTAAATCAAGAAAAAAAAAGGATTATTATTATTTTTTTATTTTTTTATATATCTCTATTGAATAAATTATCTCTTTTGATAAAGAAAAACACAAAAAAAATGTTATTTCTATTGAATAAATTATTTCTTTTGACAGGACTAGTAAAATATTATCAACAAAAAAGTTACCGCTTTTGACATGAGTGAAAAAAGGTTAACTTTGTTGAATAAATTATCAATTTCAATTGTAAAAAGAAAAATTCACTATTGGATAAATTATCTTTTTTGACTGTCAAAAAAAAAACTAATGATACGGAATAAATTTTCAAAGTAAAAAAATATAAAGAGTTAATGTTGTATAAAGGATGTTTATGACATTATAAAATAAGAGAAAATGCATTAATGAATTAAAAGACTTTATTATTACTATATTTCTTTTAAAAGAAAAAAAATAAGTTGAACAAAAGTGGAATGTCAATATTACCTCTGAAAATTAACGAACAATAACATATTTTTATTAAGATGGCATGAAAATTTATGATTCTTATTACCAAAAGTGGAAGTATGGATTTTTTTTCACCCAACAAGAACAAAATGTACTTTTTAGCAGCCTTATCAATGTAGATTTTGAGCCTATATTTTGGAATCTAATTTATTATATTTCCCAAAAATATTATTTACTAATATTTTAAGGTTGGGTTTTATTTTAAAAATATATTCCTATATTTTTTTAAAAGTAAAAGTTAATTAGGGGTTAGGATTAGGGTTTTAAGTATTTAATTTTAATTTTCTTTTTTGAAATTTTAGGGCTTTTAAGGTTTGCCGTTAAGGGTTTTATATTCTTGTTAGAATTAAACTGTTTTAGCATTAAGGTTTAAAAGACATTAGGGTTAGGATATGCTTGGAAGAATATAAAATCGTACACTTAATATACCTGCTAGAATTAAACTGTTTTATTTAAATCTATCTTGTTATGATACGCAATTTCTCATTATGCTCGCCGAAGATAATTTCTGTTATTTCCAATTCACCAAATACGATTTTATCAATTTCTGTTATTGTAACATCACCAAATATAATTTTTATTATTTTTACTAACAAAAGTACAATATTTGCAGTAAAATAGGACACCTCAATTGTCAAATCAATGAAAATGATTAAAGCAATCCATAAAATATTGGCATTTAGCAAGGCAATCATTTTTTTTTTTTTACAAAAATAATAATTAATATTTAAATTATTAAAATTGATTTAAATTAATGATTTGATTTATTCAAGTTTATCCTCTAAATGAAAGAAGATTGAATTTTTATTTTTGAATAAACAATCAAAATCAATATTAAGGGGAAAAAAAAAAAGATTTAAATTTCTTTTTTTCAATAAGCAATCAAAATCAATATTATAGTTAAAAAGGAAAAAGAAAAAGAAAAGCCGCGTATGGATCTGTTAGTGTTGGGTGGGGTCAAAATGGCGCCGGTGCACTTCCAGCGAAGATATGTATGTCGTCTCTTTCTCTCTCTACCCTTTTTATCATCCACTTCGCTGCATCCCGCTATCTGCAAAAAGCATAGCGCTTTCTCTCTCTCTCTCTATCTATATACACACACACATACACACACATATATATACCTCTGCCATTTTTGCCGCTGTATTCGTCGTAGTCATCGTTTCTCATCCTTGACTTTGATCGAGAAGTTCGTATCCAAGAAGCTTACGCATCAATGATCTTAAAATTTATACAGGTATGTGTGCATATTCAACCAAACCAATTTAAGCAAATCATCATCTCCGAAACCAGATCTCGATCATTCCACTTGGACATTGTTGTTAATTTTGAACATTCAACATATTGTGATTGCTTCTGATTTCTGAAAAAAGGTTCGACTCAATTGAAAGCGTCTCAGAAGTCAGATCAGTTCATATGCATGAATATCAATATCTACATATTGCAATTAGACGTGAACTGTCTCTGATTTTGCTTTTCATTTTTGTGCTTCAAGCTTGTTTGAGGGTCAAAGTCTTTGAAAAAAGAGCTTGCAGGAACAAATTGGTTGCGAGTACTGAAGATTTACAGATCTAAGGCATAAAGAAATTATGTCTTTTATCGGCACACAACAGAAGTGCAAGGCTTGTGAGAAGACTGTTTATCCGGTGGAGCTTTTGTCCGCCGATGGAGTTTCATATCACAAGTCATGTTTCAAGTGCTCTCACTGCAAAGGAACCCTCAAGGTATCTGCAAATTAGCCAATTTAATCTTGTTGTGAACATGCTTCATTTTCCCCGAAAAATTAGTGGTTTTCACAATTGTTTCTTACTACTTTTGCTGAGAAATCTTTGCTATTTATGAGAGATTATGAAAATACTATTAGAATTAGTAGGTGGCTGATGAACCCAACTGGTAAATTTATTCATACAATAGTTGCTAGTATTGGATTAACTTGTTTAGCGGTTTTTATTCATGCTGTTAATCCAGATTTCTTTATTGAAGATATTCAACTTTTGTGGGTTTTTGGATTATGTATGTAATGTGTGTTAATTTACCTAATGAATGTGTTTGTCAGTTGAGCAATTACTTCTCTATGGAAGGTGTTCTGTACTGTAAGCCTCATTTCGAGCAGCTCTTCAAGGAGACGGGGAATTTCAACAAGAATTTTCAATCGCGTATGCGTTATGATTCTGCCATATAAAGTGCTTTTTTATTTTATTTTCAATGCTTTTGGTTTTACCTGTTTAATTCTGTTGCGTTTCATTCTCAACAGCTGCAAAATCAGCTGAGAAGTTGACTCCAGAGCTGGTAAAGTTTCTCTATCGCCACTGCATACTTGAGATCAGTAGTGGACAAATTTTGCTTACTGCATATTTGTTGCCTTGTGCCGACACTGATTCTTGTTACCTTGTTTGGATTTCAGACACGGTCACCAAGCAAAGCTGCCAGCATGTTTTCTGGGACACAAGAAAAATGTGCTACGTGTGGTAAAACGGCGTACCCACTGGAGAAGGTAGATTCAAGCTCTCAAAAGGACACTTGTTAAATATATTTTGTCTAGAAAGTGAATAAGATACATGTTCGGTTGCAAGCTTTGATTGCCTATCTCTATTTTACTCTACCACCTAATCTGGCTTATTAAATGCTTTCGGTGATTTGAATTGGAATGATGCAATGGCTGCATATGTTAGAATCATTGGATGCTAATAATTTAGATATAGTTGAGCTTATAGTTTATAAGTTTGTGGCATTTTTACAATGTTATGAGTAATTTGTTGCCATATTTGTGACATGACCGTCTAAGAGCTAGTCTGTCCTATGAAGTTACTTTTCAATGTGGAGATGTCCCCATAAGAGTTTGCCTATGAAGTAAATAACTTTTTCCATTGATATTATTTTGTTGTTTTATAGGCATAGACAATGCGAACTTGAAGTAATTAGGACACTTCTCTTAGTTGCGATGATATTTCAAGTACTAACGCAAATATTAAGACGCCTTTGTCATTCTTGATTGATTGTGGCTATGGTTGAATATGATATTCATGCTCTTGCTGGATTCTATCACTTAATGCTTGATTTGTAATTATAGTTTTCTATTTCCTTGTACTGTTCTCAATGTACCTTTTTGCAAAGGTAACTCATATTTGGGCTGTAAATGAGCTTAGCTGAGTTTAGTAGTGACTTGTTTGGGCTCAACTCAATTATGCAGCAGGAGTGTTTGAGCTCGGATCAAATTTAACTCGAGCTCTCACCTCAGTGTTTGAGTTCAGCTCGGCAATGTTCACAGCAAACTCGAACTTGGCTCGAAACTTGCTTACAAAGACACGTATGTTACACAATCATGTATATTATATATTATTACATCTACAAACAAATTTTTTTATATATATATATATATATAAACTACAAATCCATCAAAATATATTCATAAATAAATAGATACATGGAGGAGATGTCCAGTGATCGTCAATTCAATTCCTCTTGATCTCCAATGCAATGCCTCTGTAATTAGATGAGATGTTGTCCTTCAATCGCAATGGATGTCCAATGATGCCGCTGTAGCCAACATCCTTCCATCTCCTCTAGATTACCAAGGAAAAGGCAGCAGAGATAGAGATAGAAAGTGGCTAGAGTTTACTGGATGCTGGCAGAGGGGCGTGAATAGGGCAAATTTTTTCCAACAGTTTGGAAATAATATGAGGGTTAAGGTTTGTGTCTGTATAAGGGATTATGGGGTTTATGAATTAATGGGCTAATCTTCCTAAACAGAACTTCTTCCAAAAAAGAAAAGAAAAGAAAAGAAAAGTTACGAAACAGTCAACCCCTTGGTCTCCACTTTGTTCCACTGCTCCTTTCATTCTTTTGAAGCTTTTGAAATGATTCCTTTAAGTTCTATTCCTAGTCATACGGCTTTGCTCATATCTTCTAAGCCCTTTTTTTTTTTTTAGAATGTGGCTTTTGTTGTTAGGGAGCTGTAGTTTTGACTTGTATGGAAGGGTTTTAAAAGAATTTTTTTATCTCTGTATGAGCATTTTTTTTCTTTCCATATTTTTTAATTATGTAATAGAAGCTGTACTAGAAAATGCATATATGTTGTCAGTTGCTGACAGAGGTGATTTGCATCAGCTTTATGGTTGGAGTTACTTTTGTCAAAACCATAATATAAATTAATATTTGGGTTTTAATATATACATGTAGCCAAACCCAAGTCAGCTGAGGATTGTTGAGTTGCGGCGTTGAATTAAATTTTGTAAAATGCGTGACATACAACTATTAACCAAGTTAACTGAGAAAATCTTAGCCTGGCCATAGATTCTTATAGGCTCTACCAGGTTATCTCTGAAGAATATTAGATTTTGTTTCTCATAGATGCAATGTAGGTCACTGGATATCAGATGTCTATCCAAGATTTATGTAGTCTTCTAGTCTCAGTTTTTGCTTGTATGGTTGGAATAAGGATCTGGAGATCTCATAGCTTTCATATGCATTTAACTACATATGTTTATGTATTCAACTAGCATCGAAAGGTCTTATATAAACTCTCGGGCTCATCAATCTATAATAATTAGCCATGGGAGCCACCGCTTGTCCACTTCTAAAACTATGAATGAAGGAAATTGCCATTTAATATTTTCCTTGGTTTATCAGGTATATATCTATTGCCTAAATGCTGTAGATTGGATAATGTTTTATATGCATCACTTGTAGTCCAGACTTTGCAGTTTTTTGTACTTCTGACATTAAGCGCGGTTTCCCTTCTCTCTCTCTCTCTCTCTGTGTCTTGTTTTATTTTCAATGTGGTTGAACGGTCTGTTTTAATAAAATTTTCAGGTAACGGTGGAGAGCCAGTCCTATCACAAGTCATGTTTTAAGTGCTCTCATGGTGGCTGTGCTCTATCTCCATCAAATTATGCAGCCCTTGAGGGCATCCTGTATTGTAAACATCATTTCTCCCAGCTTTTCAAGGAGAAAGGAAGCTACAACCATCTTATCAAGTGTGCGTCAATGAAGCGCTCAACAGCCTCTGTTCCAGAAGCTTGAAAATTATGTATTCTTATTTACCATTTATTTACTGGTGTTTGATTTGCTCAAGTGTCTTTCTTTTTTATTATTTTTATTTTTATTTTTTTGTCATTTCCATGCTGGAGAACTGGCTAAACTTGGCTTTTCTCTCTTCTATTCTGTCCTGGTGTTGGTGTCTTCTAGTTGTTGATGGAGTTATGGATGCTTGTGATATTACATTTAGCAGGGTATATCTGTCATTCGATCTTCATTTTGATCTCTCATTTTGATCTGAATTTAATTCCATAATAACTCTTTAATGATCTAAACAAGTCGGATACGTGGTCAATGTGATCCCACCTAATATACCATACAATATGTAAAACATATATTATCAAATGCTATAATATATATAGTACTTACATATTATCAAAAAGTCTTAGAATTATTCTCTTCTTCCTCGTACCTCTCCTTATTTTATCTACTCTTAATTCTTTAAGAAATGGTAAGGCTTTGCTTGGATTGCATTTCTGGAAACTGTTCTTGAAAACTGTTCCGAGAATCAGAACAGAGAACAGTTTCTAGTATTTTCAGATTTCAAACCTGCTTGATTAAGAGAATTTACAGAACAGTTTCTAAAAAACAAAAACTCATAAAACTACTTGGTTGTACGAGTTTTTTAAAATAATTTTCTGAACTAAAAAAATAAATAAAAATATTATTGTACTTCATTTTTTCATTTCTTTAATTTATAATATTAACTATTAATGTATATATATATATATATATATATATATATATAAGTGTTAGAAGTGAATTTATTTTAGCTGGTATTCATAACTTAATAAAAGTTGCACAAATACAATGTATCAAGTTTAATTAAAATTTCACTAAATTTATATACAATAAAAGAATTACAGGAATTACTTCAAGTGTCATATGCACTTTTAGTTATACAAACATTAATTTTAGTCATACATAACCAAAACAAAATATTAGAGAATTATACAAATAGCTAATCAAAGCAAAAAATTATAAAAGTAACTTCATTTAGCATTGCTTCGGAATGATGCCCACATTTCATTCTTCAGATCAGTTCTAAGGGCTCTCATTTGTGCTGCACCATCATCAGATAAATTAAGTACATTCAGTACACAACATTGCTACTGTTACCATTTCACCCATCAGCGACATTAACATCTTCTTCCCGATACTCCATAAAAAACGATCATCTAATATATTCTGACGAATTAAATTGTGAATCGTGCAACAAACAATTATTATGAGTCGTTGTCTACCCAACTTATAATAAGGCTTAAGCTTTAAAATGGGAAAACAAGCCTTTAGTACATTTCATACCATTGAATCTTGCACTGGTTTGTATGCTTATATATTTAAATCTTATGTGACTATTTCCTTAGTTTTTTTTTTAAAAAAAAAAAAAAACTTTAATCAGGACACATATTTTGTGTTCCAAACTTTGAACCCTTTCTATCTTGGGTTCTTCCATTAATAACTTTACATGAATTCAGTGCCTACAAACATAAACTACCTAATCAGGTGGTGCAAATTTTTTTTTTTTTTTTTTTTTTTTCCTTTCCCTAACTGTACAAGGACGAACTTCACACTCTGTTAGCCTTGGCTTGTAGCATAAATTACTTGTAAACAAATAAAATGTGTTTAAATAGAATACAAGAGAAGCAAATGTAAGCTTTATGAACTACTCCTTCCTTTCAAGTAATCCTCTAGGGAAGGTCTGCTGCTTTGCTCCATGTTCCTAAAAAATGTGGAATTATCATTCATCCACACATTTCTCCCTCAATATTTTCAGTACTTGATATAAGAAAGAATAAATCAAGGAGTTATAAATTGATAGGAATGAACTGTAGGGTAGAAAAAAGTGGCAATTGTTATTAGAATTTCAACACTAAGCAATTTCCTAGCATATTCTCACATTATAGACCTTACAAATAAATAAATAAAAACTTACTTTTATTAGCAACCTGGAATATGAAAAGATTGTTTCCTTCCCGGAATTAGAACTCAATAGAACATGCATAAATCTATATGATTTATAAGACTATATAATGCCAATCATCATAAAAGAGAATAGTGAATACATGTTATTGAATATTTAGAAAGAATTAGCAAAACTTGAATATATCAAGAATACAAATGGGACAGGTCAACAAATTAGGGATATGTATTGTCCATCTGAATATACTATAAAAGCTTTAGAAGAGACAATTATCTGGAAATGGCTATGACACAATCCAACTATCATCGATCAAAGCATAGTTCCACCACGTTTCAACATTTCAATTGCTTGTATCATTTACAAGTCATTCGTCTCAAATAGTGAAGACACGTACTATAGAGTTACATTCCAACATCAAGAGTAACAGACCAACTCATCAAATTCTTTGACAGATATGTTATAGACTTATAATTGACATTACAAATACATTTATAGCCAGGTAAAGGAGATCACCACAGGAATGAAAGTGAGTTCAATTCATAAAATTTCATGTCATTTTAACCAAAATGAGTCAGAGGACTCGATAACATTTCCACCTATTGAGAAGTAAAAAGAATAGCTACCTTAACTCCAATAGATGGAAATAGAATGACATATAAAGAAAAATGGGAGCCCTAACTCTCTAATTTTTCTCACTTGTAAATTTTTAATTTTTAAAATGGAGAGAAAAAAAAAAAAATCAAACACAACTGAAATACAGAAAGAAAAAATACAACCAACCAAATCAAACCCAGATCTAAAGTTTTAAAAACCACATAAAACCCACAAATCAAACAATTTCAAACCAACCAAATCCATCCATAGAACCAAATTCACCCAAACAAATCAAATAAAACAAACCAAATCCATCCAATCAACACAAATAATTAATTCTCAACCCAAATCAGAGTGTGAACAACCATAAATCGAAAACCCATGCACAGAGATGATTGTAGGAAGAGAAACGCAGATCGACCTTTTTTGCCTAAGAGAAGCGCAAGAAACTGAGAGAGATAGCTTGAAGAGAGACTTTTGCAAAGAAATCTGTCAGAGTGAGAGAGCTTCAAGCCTTGAAGAGAGAGAACACTTGGTGCAGCTGAGGAGATGTGGGTAATGTTATAAACGAGATATCTTACTCCCGTGTTTTTTTTAAGGGTGTGTTTGTGGATAAATAGCAGAAAAAAGAAAATATATGATAGTATTAGTTAGGGGAGAAAAGAAAATAAAATAAATGATAGTAATAATTTCTATTCGTGTTTGGATAGATAGAGGAGAAAAGAAAAGAAATGATAGTTATTTTTGTTTGGATAAGATAGAGGAGAGAAAAGAAAAAAAAGAAGAGAAAGAATATTGACCAAATTACCGTCCTATCTTTTCATAACCACTTCATACATTATCTATTTTCAAAATCTTGCTTCTTTTTTATAGTTCAATGTCATGATAAAAACAAAAGTAAAAAATAAAAAGAAAAAAGAAAAAGTAACACAAGGTTAAAATGAATCATTCAACATGGTTGAAGGTAATAATAGTCTTTAACCTTTTTTATGAATATGTGAAAATTTTATTTTTGTTGTATCTGTTATACTTATCCGACTCAATCCCTTCCCATCCTAAATTTTTTAATAACTTTTAGCATTGTCATACATCATTGCATTCCACTAAGCATATTGGGACATAAATGAAATTACTTTTCTAGTTGTTGATTTATAGCGGGTATTTTTGGTATTAATAACTTATAACTTACTATCCCTCTTTATCTCTCCCTATCTTTTCAAATTAGGAAAGAAAGCATATAAGGGATAGGGAGGGATAGCTATCTCTCCTTATCTCTCCCTATCTTCTCTTTTCTCTCCACTTAACCTACCCAAACACACTTTCACACTATCTTCTCTTTTCTTTTCTCTTCCTATCCCTCCAAATCAACCATACCAAACACACCCTAAGTGAAAAAGAGTTCTCGGTGTTTTCAAAGAGTGTGTCTTCTTGTTTCCAAAAACTCCCATAGCACCTTTTTATTGTTCTCCAAAAACTATAACTATCCGTTTGCATTTTTTCAAAAACTGTTTTTACAAAATAGATCCAAGCAGAAGTAAAATACTGTTTTCTATTTTTTGTCACTATGAAAACAGAAAACTGTTTTCTTAGATCCAATCCAAGCAGGGCCTAAACATCTATGAGAACAGTTTTCTGAAAAACTGTATAAATTTTTTTGCTTGATTTAGTTTTCTGAAAATTCAATTATAAAAAACATGTTTTTAGATAATTGTCTTTTATTGTTCTCAGATAACTGTCTTTTCTCAGAAAAGTGTTTTCTGTTCTCTAATTCTTGAGAAATGTTTTCAGGTTACAAACCAAGCAAAACCTAATTTTTGTATTTTTGTTTTTTCCATTTTTTATTTGTTATGTTTTTCTCTCCTTTTTATTCTAATCATTGTTTGAAAACTATAAAATATGGATTCATTCATAAATGATAATGAGTTATCCAATGAATAACTCATTTATGTTAACGGGAAAGAGATTAATAAATTTTTCAGATAATCTTGAGAGAGGAAAGAAGAAGCCCAACACTAGGATTTGCACATATCGTGAACCCTAGTTTTGAGGATGAAATAAACTGTAACAAAGTGGATGCTTAGATGAGATTGAGCTCCATTAAACTCATCTTTCTCATGGGCCATGTGAATCGTAGTACCCTATCTCATCCAATGCAAATGCAAGCAACATTTCTCTCTTTTACCTGATGCGTGCATTCCTTTCTTATCTCCGTATCATCTTGGTTTTTGTTGTAGAGTGTGTTCAATAGCGGTTGAAAAGCATATTTGATAATGTAAAATTTGTTACAGAAAAATATAAAAACATGTTTGGTGAAAAAATGTGGCTAGTTAAAAAAGATCAAGTTTTTTCTTTTTTTTCTTCAATGCGAAAACATTGGGAAACAATATTTAGGGTCTGTTAGAATGTGTTATGATATTGTTTTTCTGATGTTGGTATTAAAATTTAGGCCCATAACATGTCTGGAAATTGGAATAGTTCATAACATGTCATTTTTTTTTGGCTCAAACACATATTACCAAATTGGTAATATGGCGTGTTTTGGTACTACTAGTACTGGAGTTTCTAAATTTTCCAAAACGAATTTTCGTTACCAAATATGATTCCGATATCTTCCCAAAACACTCCTGCAATAAAACGGTTGCAATAAAACGGTTGTTTTGATATTGACCAAAAATATAACGTCTAAATGGGTTAGCGTTTCTGATTTTGGGCCTCATTTTGGCAACAAACAATGCACTATTGAGATGGTAACAACAGTTACCAAATGTATTTCGATGTCTGATTTTGGGCCTCAAATGTACAAACAAGATTGATTCGTTAATAGAATAAGAATGAGGGAGGAGAAATGAAATATGCTGATGTGGCGGTGTAAAATACACAGCAAGATGTTCTTTATCAGTGATAGATACTAAAACATATATTATAACATCAGATAATATATGTTTTAAATATTAGGTTTTGAAACATACATTATAACATTAGATATTACATTTCGATGTTCCTTTTTTATTTATGTTGCTTTAGTATCATCTGTTTAGCAAGACGCGATGTTCCTTTTTTCTTGCTGGACAGTCTTATCACGAGGACATCCATACTGAAAATGCTATCAATTAAGTTGAGGAATCAAACTGTATCATTGTTTTATATGAAAATTTATAAGAAAAATGCTATGAAGTTCAAACAAGAGCATCTGAGTCATATGACATGTCTTCAAGCTAAAATTACACAACATAACAATGAACTGGTAAGATTATGGTGTCTTTCATTAATAAATCAATATGAGAAAAAGCTAAAGCATACCAACTGCGTAAGCCCAATTATACAAACCCTTCCCTGAAAGAATAAAAGATAAAAGAAGGAAAAAATAAAAATAAAAATCTTCCTCCATAAAACTAAGATAGAAAAAATAGAGACAAATCAGTTGTTTATTGAACTTTCTTCCATTCTGGCTAATCTGGTGTTGTTGCTGATACAAATGGAAGCCCGATACCCAGGTTTCCCGACAAAAATAGAATTTAGAGGGCAAATTCCGCGACATCACCTGCAAATAGATTGTCCAAACTTGCCTCCAGACAGGATGCCACTGCCTCACATACAAAGAACAAAATAGATGGAATTTGCGTTAATGGTCTGTATCTCTATATCTCATTTACTACGCTTCTTGGCTTCACTGTAGAGGATAACCCCAATTACTGTGAGTGTATAGCCAAACATCCCAGTAACTGACACTGGATTTCTGAATATTAATATTGAAATCACCACAGCCACGGCCCCTTTTGCATTTCCTAGAACCTGGAAGAGCCAGCAGGTATTTGGTTATCAAAACAGAAACAAAGCATCCAGGAGATGCTCCCAAAAGGAATAACGAACTTCAAAAAAATTTAAAAATAAGAAAAAAAGATGGGAGTAATTTATGGAAATTAAAATTATAAATGTGGCAGGACTTTGGAATATAGGACCCCAAAAACGAGTTATGTTCAATCTTATGAGTCTATACCATACTCACAATGTTTATAGTTTACTATTAGAAAGGCATATTACAAAAGACTATATTTTGAAACTCAACAGCTTAAAGAAATCTCACCCTTGCACTCTTTATTGTCACACTAAGGATGTAATTTGAACGGTCAAACTAACTCCTAATAGTAAGCAAAACACTTGGTGCCAAAAGGCAGAAACATAATTCTACCTTGACATAAAAAAAATATATAACAAAATAAAAAATAAATAAAAACTTTATTTTCTTAGTCTGCTATGATAAATAATGGACTAAATTTTTGGGATAATATGAAAGAACAAAGTCAGCTCCACTAACAAATTTAAAAAGGGAACTACTATAAAGTTCTTGCTTTGTTCTAGTGTTGGGCTTTAATTAACTAGAAACAGAAGAGACTTGTCAAAAGGAAAAAACTAGAAACAGAAGAGAAAAAGAAAATCCTCAGGATTTGTCCAAAGACCTATCCAAATAGCTTCTCAAGAACCCCTCAGAACTGATTTCAAATCTTATATACCTTTTAGAAAAATTACATGATATAGTAATCACGTTTCAATGTTTTCATTTCAAGGCCCTCTTGCCCAATTAGCTCACATGGAAATGGAGACATTCATATTTTGTGTGTGTGTATCTTGGCATCTATTCCATTTAACTGCATATGCTAAGATCCAGAAACAGGGCCAAATTGAGTTCTGCAATTATTTTTCTCATGCCTAAAAAGAAAAGTTGGGGATCTAAGTGATGCATAGTTCCAAGATAAAAACTTTGCTCATTTTGTATATTATTAGATAATAATAATATGTTACGAAAAACGGGAACCCTAACGACCAAAGAATGCATTCCTCTCCTCTTTTCATTCCACATGCATTTTTTGGCTATGTATTCAACAAATTATTTAAACCCATATCCATGTTTTGCTGCTATAAAGGGCTAGCCCATTGCACGAGAACTCTTAACTCTAGGGAGGGTTAGATGTAACCTTAGCTCCAGATGCAAAGATGTAGTTTCCCGTTTCAAACCCATGACCTCTAGAGTTCATGAAGGGCTATCCTCATGTTTTGCTGCTATAATTAGTGGCAATTGACACCAGCATTGCAGAATTACACAGCTATGGGGTCTTTAAAAGGTAGACATAAGGAACACCACAAAGTACGTGTGCCTTTCTAATTTAATTTACTTAAATATATTTATCTTTTCTGGGAATGTGCACTATGGACATAATTAACTTGTTCCTGTACAACAAACATTTTTTCAGCCTCCCGATACCAAGACTCACCCATATACAGGCGAGTCTCAAAAATCACATGAGAACCGGCCAATACTCTGACCAAACAGCCGAAATTGCCTTGAACTGGTCGGTTGTATCAGAGAACCAGTCATTTTGTATGTCAATTTAGAATAATACTTGAACAACCCATTCTTTGAGATAACCTGGCTGATTACTTTAAAACGGTGCAGTTTGGCTCTTTTAGCCCAGAACTTGCCCATCTCACTTAAGAATATTTTTCTTGCCCTCCAATGTGATGGTTTTATAACTCATACATGCTCACATCTTCTTTACGTGTTTCCGAGGTGGGACTTATGCATATGTTATTTTTTTTTTTTTTACACTTATCCGACGTGGGACATGTATCACAAGTTTTAAGTTAAACTTTTAACTTCTACCTATGTTTCACAACTATTAAACAAGTATAATATTCACAAAATCCAATGAATTAGAGGGTTTATATGAGCTACATAAAAGGAGCACATGAAGACCAAGAGAATAACATCTTGTGGGGTTGTGGAACATGTATCACAAGTTTAAGTTAAACTTTTAACTTCTACCTATGTTTCACAACTATCAAACAAGTATAGTATTAAAGGAAACCCAATAAAGTAGAGGGTTTAATCCCAAGCTTTGACTAAATTAAATATTTTCTTTTCTTTTCATTTTTTTTTCACATTACCTCATTACATTAAATCAATACCTTCTCATTTTCAATTGTCTCTATTATAATAAATTTATGAGAGATTCCTGATTCTCTCATTCAATCAAATTAGAATCTCATTTTCAGTTTAGCATAATGGTGCTAGTTTTTATTTAACAAAAAAAAAAAAAAACTTCAGTTGCTCATTATTATAGACTACATAATAAAAATTGATCATTATGTCTCATTTAATAAAATTAGTTATATGCATACAAAATCATATACCTTTTATATTTTATTTAAAATTTTAATTTTACTTCCATTTTTGTTTTTTAATTCCTGTATGTTCTATATGTTATGAATTTTCATTTATTTCATAATTGAGTTTATTTTTATTCACTAATTTCGTAAAAAGTATAATTAGTAAGCCTTTTTAATAGCTGCATCGACTCAAAATTCATGAATATGTTATTACTTGTGTTAAATGATGTTCAATGTTCAAAAAATTCAATAAAAACCACTAAAAATCCATCTATATTGAATTATATTGTAAAAACTTGCGTATCAGTGCATTTTGAGCACTATGTGCATGTTGAAATAAATTCAGGACTGCAATAATCGATTTCATTATGTTACGCCGATAGTGGCACCATGACTATGGCCGCAACCGTGACTACGAACCATGTCTTGTACACATCTTGTAAGTAATTAAAGGAGGATTTTGTCATACTTTCATAATTTCAACTAGAAATGATATGTGGGACCAACATAATATGTGGGACCAACATTTAGTTACTCTTTAAAGTTCAGTTTTCAGTATTAAGGGTTGCGCGCCATAATAGATTGCAACATAAGCAACCAAAAAATGCATTTATTGGCTCTTCTGTAACACCGTACTTTCTTATTTCTTTGTTCTCCTTTAGATTTATATTACTGTAATTTTACACTTCATAAATTTATTATGAATAGGGCTAATATAATTCCCACTTTCTGTTTCCTTTATAACGAAAATTACTGATTTCATGTGGTTCAAATACTGAACTTGAACAATAGTTTCAATAACAAACATAAAACATATTGAATGGAAAGAGTACAGAAGCTTAGAACAGAAAGGAGGGAATACCTGTAGAGTCAGAGCACTGGTGTGTTTTGTAACCAAAAAATTGGTCAAATTCACAAAATATGCTAGCGCCGAATTGAATAGCAGATACCAGATGATCCTAAAATCATCTCTTGCAAGTGCCAGTGTGACGCCAATTACATTTTCTTCCATGAAGAGTGTCGCAGGAAGAAGTACTACAACAGCTACCGGAGCCATGTACAGTAGGAGGTTCATAGAATTCAGCTTTTCCCTAAACAATAACAAACCTTGGATATCAATTTCCAGATTCAGAAATTAGTTCAAATGCAGGAGAAGAAAGTCGTTCCATTGACTTAACTCAAATATACAACAACCAAGTATATACAAAAACGGCAACATATTCATATTACCCTTCAGAAGAAAGCAAAATCCCTTGAACCACCGACTTGAGTGCCCTTGCAGCCGTAGCACCAACACACATTATAAACCCAAAAAGATGGAAACTTGGTTCACCCTAAGACCATGAAAAGAAAAAGATGACAAGAATCAGAGGTGAAATAGTATGCTACAATAATATCATTTCAGACAGCAGAATACAAAGACCTGCTAATTCCAAAGTATACAAATCAAACCAGCTGAGATGCAGAAATTAATACAAATATTGTATAAATGCATGTTTTAAATAAAAAACAATTGTGCTCTCTGTAGAATTACTTAAAAGACATTGGTAATGGAATGAAACTAAGGACCTATCTTCGGGAAAGAAAAAGAAAAAAAGAAATGAATTTAGAAAAATAGAAGAGTTTGGAAATTCATTTGGTTGATAATTTTCCACTGTTCTCCTTAAAGAGAACATAACCAAGCATGACCTATGTTTTCTAATATATGATTCAAATGAGCAATATCCTCCATTCAATCAAGCCTATATAACTTTATTCAGCTTAGTTGCAGTGAAGAATTTTATTTTTTAGGAAACCAAAGTAACAAAAAACACAAAATTCCCAAGTTATTTCCTATTTATTTTAACCCCCTCAATTTTCTCATTAAATTCCCCAATTTCTTCCTCCCTAGGTTATCAAAACCCACTTCAACAGTTGCAACTGTGAACAAATAATTCAATGGAAATAGTTACCACCAATTGAAGCACAAAATTCTGAAGTAGTAAAGAATAGTAATTTATCAACAAAATTGATTCATTTGCAGATAGAAACAGAGGCTCATACCCCACTGGCAATGACGACACCAGTAACAACAGGAATGAGAGTCACATAAGTGAGCCAAGCCTCCCTCTTCAACGTCATCAAATACGCAAACACCGCCGTGAAAAACGGCGTGGTTGCCCCGATTGCCTGATTGAACGAGACCGGCAAGTACCTAAGCGAGATGTTACCGCTGACAACAGAAGCACAAAAGATCATACTAAGGGCAGAGATCTTCATGAACTGGAGACGAGATCGGATGGTCTGCAATGGGACCATCTTCATCCACACAATACCAACATAGCTCAGCAGAGAACACGCTGTCATGTGACACATGGTGAGGAAGATCGGGTATTTGAAGCCATAGTTGCTGAGCAAGTACTTGTTCAGCAACAAAACCCCAATGTTCGATGAGTACCAAGACGTCACTAGCCCGATCGTGAAAAATCGACTCGAGCCCTTCATTATAGACATGAATGAATCGAATCGAATCGAATTATACTATTCTAGGGATTTGAAATCGAAATGTAGAGGGAGAAAGTAGAGTGAGAGACGCCCAAGGATTGTATTTGTGCGAGAGTTGAACTAGGATGCGAGAATTGATATGTTAGGGTCATGGAGAGAGAAAAATAGAGGAGGACGAGGAGAGAAGAGGGAAACGAAGAGAGATCTGACGAGAATCCGTGAATCTAGAGAGAGAAAGAGATCATGTTCTTCCATGGATCTGATGGAATGTCATGAGAGGAAGCGAAGAGACTGATAGAGACAGACAATATATATATATATATATATATATATATATAGAGAGAGAGAGAGAGAGAGTGGGCGGCAGAGGGTGTGTTTGTGTGTGTGATTGATTGTGGAGGGATGTCGCGTTTTGAGGACGACCGACGACGAGTCGACGGGTTCTGCTGTGCTGTGTTCTGCAGATAGAGGGAGAGAGAAGAGAGGAGAGTTTTAAAACAGGGGAGGTAAACGCGTATGTGGGATCGAGTCATGCACTCTTCATTTTTTTATTTCTTTTTCTTTTTTGACGGCTCTGTGGTACTATCAATTTACTCCATCATTTATCTTACATAAATATATATATATATATATATATATGGTAATGCTAACGTGGAGTCGATCTCATGATAATTGTGGTGAGTTTTTATGTTTTTTTATTCTGATCCTAGGACGTGTTTTTAAATGTCTTTAAAAAATTATTTGCTTTTATAGTCAATTTTTTAATGTTGGTTACGTGATATTGTAACTACTATACTATTATTATTATTATTATTATTATTATTTGTTTAAATGAAAGTTTATGACAACTATCTTGAAGTCGATTTTATAATAATATTATTTATAAACAATTCAATATATATCTTGAATGTGCATACATATCTTACTGATAGATCTAAAATTCTTAAACTAATGATAAAAAAGATATTCTAACATTGAGTTTTTTCATTTATTTTTCTGTCAAACTAATATTAAGTTTAGAAACACTGAAATATGTCTTGGAATTAGAGTTAAAAACTAAATTTCATTTTATTTTAATTTCAAGATATTTTTTCAGTTCTTTTAAACATAACATGTACTGAATTGGTGACTTGAATTTGAATTCAAATAAATTTAAATTTAATCTAAAATTTGTATTTTTTTTTTTTTTGAATTACAAATTTAACGTATCGATTTAATACTTCAAACACAACAGTATTAAATTAAATTCAAGAAACAAATGAATTGAGCAAGCTTAAATGCTTCCTTAAAGAAAGTGTACAACTACACAATTAAGTAAAGGACACAAAACCCCTATATATAATATATTGTCAAATTACACTCAACAATCTCTTCCACCAATGGAAGGACAATTTCGTCATATCAACTAATGGCCTTATCTAATTTTATTGTTAGTTGATGGTGTTTTTATAAGGACAATACTTTAAAAAAAAAAAATAATAAATAAATAAATAAATAAACAAATGGGGCTCTATCTATGCATGGATGAGGAATGAGACTACTATTGACTAAACAGTGAAACATCATGAGAACCGGAACGACCCTCCAATTTGAGAATTACCTAATGGGGAGTTGATTGTCACCAAGAGGAGAGATATAGTAATTACAATCAAACGTGAAAAAAATGGAGAGAAGAGAGAATTATAATTTGATTCGGATTTATTTGGGTTTAATCAGAATGCTATTAAATTTTTTATTTTTTATTTTTTAAAATGTAAGGACACTTGTCAGTTTAGTAATGCGCCACATACGTAGTGAGTATAAATTTCTTACTTACCGGTAAGTAGACAAACATTGTCATTTTTATAGTTCAAGGAGTAAGGGGAATTTTGTAATTTAAAATCTTAAATAAAAAACACAATTAAAAATATATATATATATAAAGCACTTTAAATATGCATTATTTATTTTTAATTAAATCTTTATATATAGACATAATTTTAAAAAAAAAAAATATGGAAATATTTGGTGAGCCTCACATGGTGGTTCTCTCTTTGGCACCGCTTATTAAGAAAACATCAAAGTTGAATAAATGACTCTCTCTCTCTCTCTCTCTCTCTCTCTCTATATGTAATGTCAAATGTCAAACAGATACTTTAATGGAGTATTAAAATGCTAGCATTTATTAAAGAAAAAATGCATTGTTATGGCATTAACAACATTAATAATGGTTTGTAAGATTCCCACTGCCCTTGTAACCGCCAAAATTTGAGTAATGCTCTAAATGCCTCCTATAGATTTTGGTGGATGAACTATCACAATAGTTTATATTTATGTGTGCATGACACGAACGACTGTGCACCGAACATGAATATCTTCTCCTTTCTAAATGTTTAACTCATTAATTGATTATCATATCAGTCATTTTTTTTTGTTACCATAATCAAGTTTATGGTTTTCCTAAAAATTTTAATAAATTGATTCAAACAGAATTAGTCCAAATACCAAACGCGGTCTTATACAGCATCTCATGCATTGTATAATTGTATTGGGTGTATTGTTAACCTCACAAACTAATAGGTTGAAAAGTACGTTAAAGCCCCTTTTCTGCTTGTATACTCAAAGTTAAGTTCACCCCACGGTTCACATTCTCCTTCACTTGGGGGACACTTTTTGCATTCCAAGGTAGTAGAAAAGGTCGTATGCTTAATCTTGCATTATATATATATGTCAATTTATTATTCCAACATGGAATATGATATAAAATATTTGTGTTTTATATAGTTGACGACTCCTGAGTGAAACACTGCAGGATGAGAGATTGTCTATTTTTATCTTTTACTAACAAAGAATTTTTGTTAGACTCTATTAGTTAGAATAACAGTAAAAATTGATTAATTTTACATCATTACTCATTTCGTTATTCTGACTAAGATTTTACCTACGTACCCCAAGGTATTAAAAAAAATTCCTACTCAATCTATATATATATATATATATATTTTTAATTTTGCCAAAAAATTCCTAATATGAGTAGTGTCCAAAGTGTATGTATGGAGTAAATGGTAGCATGCATTTTAGAGATTTGCAAAATATTTGCATAGACTTCACTTGGTTAACACTTTGATTACGAAGACATTTCTATTTTCCAATTTGTATGGCATGTGGAGATTAAAAGGTTGCGTATTCATTTCAGATTTTGTTTTCATCTTGAAGAATCATTCATTTCTAGCTAGTTTCAAATTTAAGAGGAAGAACATAGTCAACGTGATACTTTTAATCTAAAAAATCAACTTTTTAAAGCTATATATTTGACTATTTGAGCCATTCCATTTAAATACGTAGTACTCGCTTTACTCAGTTTCCAATTTAAAACTTTATTTGATGATATCATATTATATTTGTCAAGGTTAAAGAAAACACTGGTGTGGGTTGACATTCCCTTTCTTCAAGGAAGAGTTTAATCAGTTGTTTTCTCAAAGAAAACCTATAAGCTTAGAAGTAACTCAACCTTTGGGTAAAATGCTAGTTTTGAAACTAGAATGGCACCAAATGGTAGATGATTTAGGGCTCATTTGGCAGCTGTTTTAGAACTAGAATATATATATATTTTTTCCTATTTGGGACTCACACACACTGCCTCCACTGAGGTTTGAATTCCTGACTTCCCTTTGTGAAGTAGAAGCCTTGTACTGTTAGGCTACCGGCCTGTTAGTGTTTTAAAATTAGAATAGCGCTAGGACGCCGCTTGTTTTGTCACTCTGAAAAGTGTTTTCTATTTTCAAACATCTAAAAATTGAAAAACTGTACAAATACTCTGTTTGGCTCATTTTTTTAAAAACTCAATTATAAAAAAGTCTGTTTTTAGAGATCTGTTTTTTATAATTATCTGAAAACTATTTTTTGTTTTCTGAAAATGGTTTTCAGAGTTACAAATTAAACATTCCCCTAGTTTTTTGGTTTATTGTTTCCCAGATTATCCACAGATTATCCATTCCCTCTTTAAAAAGGCTGTCTATAAATACAACTACTAATATCATAAACAAAAATATCTGTGCTGCTAAAGAAGAAAATCAAAATAACTTTATCTTTAAATAATTATTGAAACCAATGAAATTTCACAATAATTAATATTTGGGTAATGCACGTATTATTAGTATATGGGTAAATAGTAAAATTAGTAAAAAAAACAAAAAAAAAGTGCTTTACTCAATATTATTACCAAACAAATTTAAGAGTACTTTTAAGTATAAAAAGTGCTTTAATAAATGCATCATTAAACACCTAACATACTTTTTGCTGACAGTTTTATTACAGATAAAAGCTCTTTAAAAGGGCTTTCATCATTACACAGCATTGCCAAACGAGCACTTAACATCTTCAGCACTTTGATCCCTTGAGGTGAAGACATCAGTCAGAGCCGTTTCAGATATTAGAGCAGCCTTCAGCAGATTCAAAGCCTCCACCACCAAAAATAGAAAATCAAAATCAAAATCAATTTAGGCATAAGTAATAGGTTCTCCCAATTATTCAAAGAAAAAAAAAAAAAAAAAAAATTGTTATCCCAATTGTAGCCCACTAAATTGTGAGAAATCAAAGTACAAGCAGCAGTCATCATTCTAATTAACCTAATCCTAAAATTTGGTGCATCTTTCCATGCTTAATGAAAATTACAGATGATGACATGAATCACTGCTATAGATCAGCCAGAGAGTAAAAAACCAATGGGTGCTATTGTTGTAGTTTCTTGATGCCTTAAGTTTGTATTTTCATCTCAAATTGTTTATGTTTATGCATGTTAAACTAAAAGAACTTCAAACAATGATATTCCAGTTGTAAATTACTCGGTTATTATGGAAATCAACTTTGTTTCGAGAATCTAATATCCCCAACCAATGGTTAATTGTTATTTTCTGTTATCAAGGGAAATGGGGTGTTTTCATTAGCCGGAGGTACTACATAGTACGTACCGGTATTAAAAAAAAATTCCCTTGAAAGGAATATGTATCTCTGCATTGTTGTTTAACATGCAAGATCACAAGTACATTATCTACACCTAGTATGTCTCAAATGGTAAAGGAATTCAACCTGTCAAGGAAGAAGCTGCGGGAACCTCTTGCTAACTATGTCGTAATTGAAAATTATCAATTAAAAAAATGTCTCCTGCATGCTATATTAGGTTGATTTCCAAAAATTCATGGCAGAATCTTTACTTAAATAACAAAATAATTAGTTTTCAGCCACATTTCTGATAACATGATTCAAAATTTGCTATCTGTACACTACCTTAAAACCTACACATAATCCAACTAGTTAGCTATGCAGGTTCCAAACATGTCAAAACTATCAATATTTATTGGAGGGAAAAAAGAAAAAAAGAAAAGAAAAGGAAAAAAGAAACAGAAAAAGAAAAGAGATGAGAATTTACCTCCTCCTCTCCCACTGTCACCACTTTCTGGTCAACATCTGTTATTGGCACATCCAACTTGCCAAGAAATGAGATGCTTGAGATGGGAGAGAGTGGTGTGACAACTAAGTCATCAGTCACCATGAACTTGGCTGGTCCCTTCACAAATCCTCCCCCTCCTGTGGTTTGCCCAGTAGAAGACTTCGGATTCACCATGGACCAGAGTCCCAATTCTTGTCCAAAGCAGAAACCATCGAATTTGGATGTCATAGGGTGGACAAACAACTCACCGTCTGTCGCTCCACAAGTATAAAGCAAGTATTGGGGACTGGAACTTTCTTCAATATGCAGTAGCTGGTTCTCACATGCAAAGAAAGGAGCAAGCTTGGGACTGAGTAACATGTTTTTGAGTTCCTCAGACTTGAAGTAGTTTTCAGTGCTTAGATCGTTGACGTTTTTGTACAAACTGTCAAAAGATCCAAGCGAAGACTTTCCACCCAAAAGTTTTAATATAGATCCAAGAGGAAATGTGAGGAAGCTGAAGAGGAAGTCCACAAAATCTTCTCCACATTCTGCATATAATACCTTATTCCTAGATTTGCTTATGAAAATAGTCAAGCTCATCTTCTTCGGGTCACTGGTTGCAGACCTTTTGCCTAGCGATTTAGCCATGTTTCTGGTTTCAATCTCTATAGGATCACTAGCTCCTTTCACTAATGAAATCCAATGTGTTAAAGGTGCCTTGGTGAGTAATGAGAGTCGAAGCAATTGCATAATCTGACCGAATAATCAGAAAAAGAATAAATAAAACATTCAGAAGCGGATTGTCAACAGCAAAGCAGAAGAAATAGTAAACAACCAAGCCTCTCTACCCTTGCCAGTGAACTTAATGAATTGGCATTCAATTCAACACACAAAACAGTTTGTAAAAACTCACACTATAAAAAATGAAAATAGCAGAGATGTTCTTGCAGGAACACACAAAGAAATGAAGAAAAGTTAACAAAAAGAAAACAAGAATGATGATGAAATACCGAAGAGGAATCTTGTAGTTGATGAAAAGATTATAAAGAAAAATTGCTGTTGAAGTTCTTTACCACAACTTGCTTTTGAAGATGTGAATGAACAAGGAAAGAGAACAATTAAAGATACGAGCCTATTTTCTTATACTAATGAGATTTTGGTTAAAATTAATTCTAAATTAAACAAAGCTTGGAATAGGTAGGATATTACAACAGTAACTGAGAGTGATTGAACCGATTAATTTGCTATGAGCTATAACATCAAATTGGATTTGGAATGATACTAAAACATAATGGAACAGTCTCTTTCAAATGATATTGGAAGTTGGAACAGAATTTGCTTATCTTAAAATTTATTTATAACAGAACTAAATATATTATTTTAATTCTACTGTCACAGGACTAGCACAAAAGAACATATAATAAATGATGATGCGTTGCAACCTTGAAACAACGGAACAAAATTAATTCCTTATACTAGCTACTTTTACTGGACTAGCATGAAAGATTGTAAAGCACATAAATCTTGAATTGTTACCTCCTCTGGTCCAATATTCAAACTCCGACTCTCAAGCTCATTTGCATCCACGATGCCAAGCTTTTTCAGTAGCATAATACTTGGGGGTATTGAGCCAGACATAATTTGCAAACCATCACTTACCAAAAACCTCTCTGTTCCTCCCTTAAGAAATTCTCCTTCACCTTCATCACAAGAAGCCTCGGTAGTATGTTCCGACAAAGTCACCAGTTGATCCATTACTTCTCCGCAGTGGCAACGGACATTGCCAAAGTCACTTAAAATGCCTTTACCTTCCTTTCTGCAGTTTGAATTTCCACAAATATAGTAGCATTTGATGGGGTTTAAGTCGCCCACAATCATTTGTTTTAAGTTACTGCATTGAAATTCGGACAATCTTCTCAGCTGAAGCAACATGTCCTTGCAAGCTTCTGTGCTTAAAAATCGTGCATCAAGATTCTCAACACTTTTATATAAGTTATTCATGCATCCAATCACAGTGGGTGGTGACTTGTCATGGAGGAGATTGACAATGGTTCCCACGGACAAAGTCAAGAAGCTGAAGAGAAGATCAACAAAATCCTTATTCGATTCAACAAAGACAACTAGATTCTTCTTCTTTTCAACCAAAACTTCAATTTTGATGTCCTGTTTGATAGTTGTGAGTTTGAGTCAAGCTAAACTGAATAGGAGACAGTTAAAGAAGAAAAACAATGGTTCCACTTGTATTACTGAAAATGTTTCTCAGGGAGAAAACAGTGTAAAATAGGATACTACTGATGTAGTTGTAAAATATTGCAGATACATATTGTTAATCTGTTCCATGCAGGGTTTCAGGAAGAGGAAATTAAATTGGAGACAAACCTAATCCTCACGCTCAGTCTGAGCCTCTACCATTGCACCAAGCAATGACCCGTACAAGACATTGTACTAGTCTAAACTATTCTTATTCTTAGTTTACCCAAAACTTAAGTCAAATAAAATGGAAGTCACAATAATTGAAGCTTGCCCATATCAAAAAGCATGAAAAAAACCACAACTGTCATTAACATACTGCAGCAATTCTTTCTTGTAAGATTCGTAACAATATAAAATATTAATGAAAAGGTGATATCAAGAACACAATATGAGGGACCCAGATATAAGATCTGGATGATGGAGGAAAAGCAGACAACCATGTGAGAATATTGGTGAAGGTAGGGATGGTCGTATCTGTGACAGATTCTGAATGCTGGTGTGTTAATGCTTCTTGTTCTCACTCTGCCTTTAATGCTTGCTCTAAGGGTGGTATTTATTGTCCTTAGCACCTCTGGTATTACCCAGAGGTCCTTGATTTTCCTGGTCCTTGCCCTGTACCTAGGCATGTAGGTATGATGCTCTTAGGCACCTGAGGGGTCACATCCTCCTATCGAGTTATCTCTTTACAAGGCACGATGTACCACCCCTTTTATCTTGAACATTAAATGCATTTGGCTTTATGAGAACGGCGGTAGCTGAGCCAATAATGACTCCATCAGGGCATTAATGGTGATGGTAAGATTCTCTATCACAATACATATCCACCATCTTAGTGGTCAGACCCATCATTCGTGTTGGGCATCTTCTGACTTTTCATCCACCAATCCAAGATCCTTCAAAGTGTCATCAGTTGTAAACATTCGAGTAGGCCTTATCGACATCTCGCTTTTTGTTTGACAATTTGGGTTTGAGGTCTTAGCAATCAGGAGTGATGCCGGAATCATGCTTGGGATTCAAGGGTTGCCCTCTCAAGATTTGTTTACCTAGTGAGATGCCAGGGTTTTGCTTGTGACTCGAGGGTTGGCCTCTTGAGGTCTGATGACCAGGTGACATGCCATGGTTTTGCTTGTGACTATAGGATTACCCTCTTAAGGTTTGATGACCTGATGAGATGCCAAAGTTTTGCTTATGTTCAATCAATGGGTGTTTGGCTTCTCAGTGTGCCACGTGGGCGCAACAGTCCAAGTCTGTTTGCCTTTGGGCCATGTGGAGTAGCTTAATATGACACTTCCAGATACAATTATGAAATAAATTGGCAAAATATATATAGTCTAACTGGAAAGTGATATTATTATTGAACCCCAAGGGGATAGCCTAATGGCAAATGCTCTCACCTCACATCTTGTTGGGAGTTCAAATCCTTTGGGGCCATCTCTAGGGAGTTTTTCCAATAATTGTCCGCTGCATATGCGACGGGGAGACAACATGTGACCAGTGGTGGTCCCAATGAAAATTCACTTATGGTCCCAAAAATTCAGTGTTTGTTCAACAAACATATATTGGGCCCAAAATAGAGAGTTTGAAAATAAAATTAAATTTGTGTCTTTTGAAACTTATAGAAATTTTAATATGCACCATTTTAACCATACTCTTGAAAGAAAAAATCTTGTGAAACAAAATTTAAGTTTATTCTTATTGTAGTCCTTATCTAAAAATATATACTAATAATACTTTTAATAGTCACTTGCTAAATAACAATTTGTGTGACAACTTCTTGTATAAGTTACTAAACTAATTCTTTTGTATACTTAATCAAGGGCCTTGTGACCCCGTAGTATCTCCTCTACCTTCCAAAGTGAATGGTAAGGGTTCAAATCTCCAAATGAGCAAAGTGGGTGTGTGTGAGTTTCTTGCCATTGACCAAAAAAAAAAAACTTTTGTTTTCTTAACACTTACGAAATTTTGTTTAGCAAAAATTATTTTGTTTCTTAATCTTTTATCGAGGTAATAATGATATATATTTCTCATAGCAAAATCAAAGTACTCAAAACGGTTTTTGAAAAATTGAAACAATTCCAGAAGAAATATTGATTTAGGTTGCATTTTTTTTTTTCTTTCAAATTTTGGATTTTCTCAATGTACTATGACGATATATATTATAAATAAAATTATATTACAATTGAATTTTTTTATAAAAAAAAAAAAAAAAAAAAAAAAAAATCAAAATTTAGTTACATAATACAAGTTTGGCCTCCAAAGTAAAATTTGTCGCTCCACCCTTGGCGGTCAACCTACCCAACCAGGTGATAATTGCTTGTTTGGCGGCATGGGATTGGAGCCTCAGAAATAGAGAAAATTTTGGTTCAATTTTCAGAGTTACTTTTCTCTAATTCCTCCAATTCCATGCTAGCCAAACATAGCTTAAGTGAAATTGAGTTGCAAACAAATGATCCTACAATTTTTTTTTTTTTTGGGTGCATTCTTATAAATCCACAATATTCACCGAAAACAAATAAAACTTTACATCCTACAAGGCTACTAATTATTCGTAAATAGACAGCAGTAATAGTTAATTTGGCGAAATTTTAATAGCATGATGAAAACAAATAGATAAAAAAAAATTTGCATATGGAAGTAAATAGAGGAGAGGGTAAGTCACCGGAATGGTACTAGTTTGGGGAGTAAAATTATGATCGTCGTCGGAGGTCGAAAGAGAATCCAGTTCGCCGGACCCACGAGCAGCACCAAAACCCCCACCGGAACTAGTAGGACTTCCCTTTACTCGAGTGGCATTGGAAAATGACATCTCGACTTTGGGAGGGAGACAGAGAGAGAGGGGAGAGGGTTTCTGGTGATCACCTCACCTGAACTATGCGATTTTCTAAATGGAAGGGTGTGAAAGTTGATCAACAACTGCACAGTCACTTTATGATGGTAAAGATGGGAAATTATTGCTTGGCTACAAAGAATGCAAAAGAAAAGAGGGGTGTGAAGGTAAAATTGTCAATTCATTTATCCCCCAAATAATCACCTAATCGTAAGGTAGATTGGCCACGTCAGACTTTAAGAAAAAGAAAATTTTCTTTTTTTGTTTAAATATTCCAGTCTTTTAGATAAAAACCAAAACCAAAACCAAAACCAAAACCAAGACTTCATTTTTTAGAAAAACTTGTAAGTAATTTGGAAATTATTTCACTAGACTTTGTAGGCTTGGATTCTATCTAATAGAAGATTTATACAAAATATTATCAAAATTATATAATAAAATAAAAATAAAAATAAAAACCTCCAATTTCTTCGATTCTACCGTCACCATATCAGTTTCATGTTTTGCCTTAATTATTGTTTTCAAAAATTGTGAAAGAGAGTACCGATTGAATAACTATTGAAGAAAAAAACTCATACAAAGCTTAGAGAGAGTGTGAATCCCGACTTGATGTTGTTGTGAGAATGTGTTCTGTTATTTAATTTTTTTAATTTGTGAGATCTTACATATATATATATATATATATGTATGTATGTATGTTACATTTGTGTATTTAACTACTGTATGTTCACGCCATTGCCTTTTTCTATCCACGATCATTGAGGAAGCCTGCCTTTTTTCTGCGAGAAATTATAGAAGAGGTTTATTATATGAGTCTCAATTGCGAGAGTAATTTCAATGAAAATTACATTAAACTTAACAAAAATAATATTAACAATAAATATAAGTTTTAATCCCAAGGGTTTGGCTCCAATGGTGACGGACTTGTGATTGAGGCAATTGCTATTATGCCCACTATTTTACTTTTTTTTAATTATATATTTGTAAAATTTTGAGATTGAAACTCTGCAATCAACATTTGTAGTTAAAATCGTCCCTCTCTCACATACTTTTTTGAGTCTGTTCCTGACTCTGGTGCAGGCTCTACGAGTTCTGTGTGGTGGCGGGGCTCCTTGGAGGATACAGTATTAGTACTTATATATATATATATATATATATTGCAAATAGATACAAATCAGATTAACCTGCAGTGGTGCCTTCTTTATGTTTAACATAAAGGTAAAGGACCAAGTCTACGTGTAAAACAAGAAAGAGGAAATAAAGAGAAATAGGCTTATGACATTGAGCACGGAGCAGAAAGTAAGAAAGCCAAAAACATGACTCTGCTTTTTTGAGTTACAGTAGAAAACAAAAAGAACGTTTTATTTGGTAGTAATATATATTTACAAGGCCTACAAAATATTTTAAAATTTTCCATTATTATCAAAAAATCTTAAAATATAAACAATGTATGCGATTCAATTATTTTACATATATATTAACATTACCAAATAAAATACATGATAATAAAATATAATATTCAATTTAAAATCACAAATTACCAACGGGTTGATCTAACGGTATCAGTCTCTTATTTTTTAAAGGGAGGTTATGGAGTTAAATCTCAAAAGAGACAAGTGTGTGTGAGCACCAACTAACAAAAAAAAAAAAAAATTACAAATTTTAATAATGCCCAATACTTATCTATGCTTATGCATTGTGTATAAAATTATTATGTAATATATATTATATATCTAACATATTTTATGTTATAATAAATAAAAAAATGTTAAAAAATATATTTTATATGTAAAAAATTATAATGAATTATAATATTCTAAATTAATTACAATATAATATTTACATATAATGTAATATAGATATGGCATAAAATATAAAATATATATTGCATAATAATTTATTAATATTATATATTAAAAAAATATTTTTTAGTAAATAAAAAAATAATCTACACGATAATATATATATATATATATATATATATATTACTATTTAATTTGTAGCATATTAGTATATAACATGAATAATACTCCTTATAAATTTTGTTTGAAATGAACAGTGCCCGTACCCTTGCAATAACCGTAGCAAAACATTTTTGGGATAGAGTGCCAACAACATATCTCATAGGAATCACTTTTTTTTCATCTTTTATTTACAAAAATAGCAAAAACATAGGGTTGAAACATGATTTTTGTTTTTGTTTTGTCTTTTTGAAAGTTGGCAATACAAAACTAGAAATGTTTCCCCTTAGTGAGCGCACTCTAGAAAATGATATGTAGTCTGAGTGGTCAAGCATCATGATGACATCATTTCTCACTTACGTAAGTACCATACTTCACATTCTCCTTCACTTGGGGGGAATACTTTTTGCATTCCAAGGTAGTACAAACTTGTTGCTCTCTTCTTAGCTTGTGTGAGTTCAAATTTTATTATTATTTTTATTTTTTTTCATTTTAAAAAAAGGTTGTATGCTCAATCTTGCAATATATGTGTGTGGGGGGAGGGTTGTATGCTTAATCTTGCAATGTGTGTGTGTGTGTGTGGGGGGGGGGGGGGGGGGGGGATTGATGATATAAATAGGGTAAAGTGCATTAAATCCCCCTGAATTATGAGCCAATTACAAAAAACGCCTCTAAACTAAAAATAACCCCTAAACTATAAGAGTGTTGCAGTTAAGGACAATTTGTCAACCGGCCGTTAATGGAATAATCAAATTACCTATTAGCCCTTACTTTGAATGATTTTGAGTTATGTGCAACTTAAGCTGCTGAGGTGATAAATGCAATTTCAATCTCCAATAAAAAAATGCCAACGCATCGTAATTATAACTTTATCACAATTGCTTCGGCTATATTGATATATGGCGCTAAACCCTCTCTCTAAACTGACGCCAAACAATTCCTCCTTTCTACTGTATGTGTGAAGCGATCTCTCTCAATACACCATGCTAAACCCATTCATAGTTGGGTTCATGAGCTACTTCAAGGAGAATCTCAAAAACAAAAACCCAGAAAATCAACGCATCGTAATTATAACTTTATCACAATTGCTTCGGCTATATTGATATATGGCGCTAAACCCTCTCTCTAAACTGACGCCAAACAATTCCTCCTTTCTACTGTATGTGTGAAGCGATCTCTCTCAATACACCATGCTAAACCCATTCATAGTTGGGTTCATGAGCTACTTCAAGGAGAATCTCAAAAACAAAAACCCAGAAAATCAACGCACACAACACCAGAAAAATCTGAAGGTGGACTTTGAAATGGAGATTGAGATCGCAAAAGATAGTGAAGAGAAGTGTGTTCGGGAGCTTGAAATTGCAGAAATTATTAGGGCAAAAACCTCAATTGGTTTTACAAGCAATGAGGATGACAAAGATGTGGTAGAGGAAAAGAATCTGATGGTGGACTTTGCAATGGAGATAGAGACGACGGCAAAAAGGCAATAAAGAGCTCTGTTCAGGAGATAGAAAAAAGTAAAATTTGTTGGTGCAGAGTCCTTGGTTGCTTCATTGGAAGATGGAGATGACAAAGCTATGGCAGATGAGGAGAATTTGAACACCCAATTTGAGATGGAGGTGGAAGGGGCAGAAGGAAGTGCAGAGGAGTATGATTGGGGTATAGAAGATGGACCACTCGCTGGTGCAAAGTTTTCTGTTGCTTCTATGGACGATGGGGATGGCAAAGTTGTGGTGGAGGAAGAAAACCTGGATACCCAAATTGAGACGGAGACATGAACGTCAAATGGCAGCATTGAGGAGTCCGTTCAGGAGAGTGAAGGAGAGGGGATTTGCTGCTAATGGAGAATCAAATACTTAGGGTTTTTTTAATTTGGGGATTTTGGTTCGAATGTTTATAGGGTAAAGTGCAAAAAACTCCCTTGAATTTTCAAGCATTTGCACAAAACCCTCCTGATTTAACAAGTGCCCCCCTGAACTATTAAAAAGTTGTAGTTGAGGACAAGAGTGAAATTTTTGGTACTGGAAAAAAAAGATTACTAAATTATCCTTTAGTGAAACTACGCAGTTTTGGTACTTTATAAACTTGAACTGCTGATGTGTAAAACAAAATTTCAATAACTAATAAGAATTTGACAACTCATCATTTTATCACATGACAACACCCCACACTTTGCAAGGAACACCTATTCTCCACCTCATTTTAGTACTCCTTCCATTCTCATGGCCGCCACCAACCCTCTCCCACAAATTCTTCTTCCCTAATCACCTCCGCCGTTCACAGCCCCCCAACCTCAGTCGACCCAACTCCCTCTCCATTTTCCTTTTTCTCACAACACCCCACTAACTCAAGAACCAAACCATGAGAGCCACAAAAATGGGTTTTGCCATAACTTTTCTCTTTCCAACCTTAATCTCTCTCCTCACCGTCATGGCGCCAACGATGGCTTAGGCTTCTGATTTTGCACTTCCAATCGCACCTTCAACAAATTGATTGACTACGTGTCTCACCGAACACCACCTCCCTCTCGGCAGTTAAAACCCTCTTCGGCGTCAAAAGACGCCGAACCCTCCTCGGTGCAAACAAACTCCCTCTCTCCACCTTACCCCACCAGTCCATTACAGCGAAGAAAACGATCAAATCCTCTACCTTGTCTTTGCACCAACCAATAGCTTATTTACATGGTAGTCGCCGATGACAGCCTGGACCACATCACGAGGAATGCATTCTCGGTGCTGTTGATGTATCAGCAGATCTAGAGTGGGAATGAGATTGTTGATCAGAACTTGATCGAAGTTAACAAAGAAATCTGAATTTCTGGATTTCTATGATGAAACGAGAAGGAGATGGAGGCAATTGTTCCAAACAAAGATGGCAATTTGGTAGGGATAGGATTTGAACTTTCGACGACTGATTTGGGGTTCAATTTGGGGAAAAAAAGTATTATCAATTTGGAAATTTTGTTTTATATTCTCCACATTCGCATTTAATTGTTCCAAGTAGAGATGGCGATTTGGTAGGGATAGGATTTCAACATTGGACGATTGATTGGGTTTAATTTGGTGATCTCTTCAATTTGGAAAAAAAAGAAAAAAACGAAAGTATCATCAAATTCAGAAATTTTGTTTTATTTAT